GTGACTCCATGTTAGATGGGCCCTGACCCCTATGTCTGTTGTGGTGACTCCATGTTAGATGGGCCCCTGACCCCTATGTCTTGTTGTGGTGACTCCATGTTAGATGGGCCCCTGACCCCTATGCCTGTTGTGGTGACTCCATGTTAGATGGGCCCCTGACCCCTATGTCTGTTGTGGTGACTCCATGTTAGATGGGCCCCTGACCCCTATGCCTGTTGTGGTGACTCCATGTTAGATGGGCCCCTGACCCCTATGTCTGTTGTGGTGACTCCATGTTAGATGGGCCCCTGACCCCTATGTCTGTTGTGGTGACTCCATGTTAGATGGGCCCCTGACCCCTATGTCTGTTGTGGTGACTCCATGTTAGATGGGCCCCTGACCCCTATGTCTGTTGTGGTGACTCCATGTTAGATGGGCCCCTGACCCTATGCTTGTTGTGGTGACTCCATGTTAGATGGGCCCCTGACCCCTATGCCTGTTGTGGTGACTCCATGTTAGATGGGCCCCTGACCCCTATGCTTGTTGTGGTGACTCCATGTTAGATGGGCCCCTGACCCCTATGTTGTGACTCCATGTTAGATGGGCCCGTGACCCCTATGTCTGTTGTGGTGACTCCATGTTAGATGGGCCCCTGACCCCTATGCTTGTTGTGGTGACTCCATGTTAGATGGGCCCCTGACCCCTATGCTTGTTGTGGTGACTCCATGTTAGATGGGCCCCTGACCCCTATGCTTGTTGTGGTGACTCCATGTTATGTTATGGGCCCCTGACCCCTATGTCTGTGGTGACTCCATGTTAGATGGGTCCCTGACCCCTATGTCTTGTGGTGACTCCATGGATGGGCCCCTGACCCCTATGCTTGTTGTGGTGACTCCATGTTAGATGGGCCCCTGACCCCTATGCCTGTTGTGGTGACTCCATGTTAGATGGGCTCCATCCATGTTAGATGGGCCCCTGACCCCTATGCTTGTTGTGGTGACTCCATGTTAGATGGGCCCCTGACCCCTATGCTTGTTGTGGTGACTCCATGTTAGATGGGTCCTGACCCCTATGTCTGTTGTGGTGACTCCATGTTAGATGGGCCCCTGACCCCTATGTCTGTTGTGGTGACTCCATGTTAGATGGGCCCCTGACCCCTATGTCTGTTGTGGTGACTCCATGTTAGATGGGCCCCTGACCCCTATGCCTGTTGTGGTGACTCCATGTTAGATGGGCCCCTGACCCCTATGTCTGTTGTGGTGACTCCATGTTAGATGGGCCCCTGACCCCTATGTCTGTTGTGGTGACTCCATGTTAGATGGGCCCCTGACCCCTATGCTTGTTGTGGTGACTCCATGTTAGATGGGCCCCTGACCCCTATGTCTGTTGTGGTGACTCCATGTTAGATGGGCCCCTGACCCCTATGTCTGTTGTGGTGACTCCATGTTAGATGGGCCCCTGACCCCTATGCCTGTTGTGGTGACTCCATGTTAGATGGGCCCCTGACCCCTATGTCTGTTGTGGTGACTCCATGTTAGATGGGTTGTGGTGACCCCCCCCTATGTGACCCCTATGCTTGTTGTGGTGACTCCATGTTAGATGGGCCCCTGACCCCTATGTCTGTTGTGGTGACTCCATGTTAGATGGGCCCCTGACCCCTATGCTGTTGTGGTGACTCCATGTTAGATGGGCCCCTGACCCTGACCCCTATGCTTGTTGTGGTGACTCCATGTTAGATGGGCCCCTGACCCCTATGTCTGTTGTGGTGACTCCATGTTAGATGGGCCCCTGACCCCTATGTCTGTTGTGGTGACTCCATGTTAGATGGGCCCCCCCTGACCTCCATGTTAGATTGGCCCCTGACCAATGACCTGACTGTTAGATGGGCTGACCCCTACCCCTGCTGTTGTTGTGGTGACTCCATGTTAGATGGGCCCCTGACCCCTATGCCTGTTGTGGTGACTCCATGTTAGATGGGCCCCTGACCCCTATGCATATATTGTGGTTGTTGTGGTGACTCCATGTTAGATGGGCCCCTGACCCCTATGTCTGTTGTGGTGACTCCATGTTAGATGGGCCCCTGACCCCTATGCTTGTTGTGGTGACTCCATGTTAGATGGGCCCCTGACCCCTATGCCTGTTGTGGTGACTCCATGTTAGATGGGCCCCTGACCCCTATGCTTGTTGTGGTGACTCCATGTTAGATGGGCCCCTGACCCCTATGTCTGTTGTGGTGACTCCATGTTAGATGGGCCCCTGACCCCTATGCTTGTTGTGGTGACTCCATGTTAGATGGGCCCCTGACCCCTATGCTGTTGTGGTGACTCCATGTTAGATGGGCCCGTGACTGACCCCTATGTGACTGTTGTGGTGACTCCATGTTAGATGGGCCCCTGACCCCTATGTCTGTTGTGTGGTGACTCCATGTTAGATGGGCCCCTGACCCCTATGCTTGTTGTGGTGACTCCATGTTAGATGGGCCCCTGACCCTATGTGTCTGTTGTGGTGACTCCATGTTAGATGGGTCCGAGACCCCTATGCTGTTGTGGTGACTCCATGTTAGATGGGCCCCTGACCCCTATGTCTGTTGTGGTGACTCCATGTTAGATGGGCCCCTGACCCCTATGTCTGTTGTGGTGACTCCATGTTAGATGGGCCCCTGACCCCTGTCTGTTGTGGTGACTCCATGTTAGATGGGCCCCTGACCCCTATGTCTGTTGTGTGGTGACTCCATGTTAGATGGGCCCCTGACCCCTATGTCTGTTGTGTGTGACTCCATGTTAGATGGGCCCCTGACCCCTATGTCTGTTGTGGTGACTCCATGTTAGATGGGCCCCTCTGACCCCCCCTATGCTTGTTGTGGTGACTCCATGTTAGATGGGCCCCTGACCCCTATGCTTGTTGTGGTGACTCCATGTTAGATGGGCCCCTGACCCCTATGTCTGTTGTGGTGACTCCATGTTAGATGGGCCCCTGACCCCTATGCTTGTTTGGTGACTCCATGTTAGATGGGCCCCTGACCCCTATGTCTGTTGTTGTGGTGACTCCATGTTAGAGATGGGCCCCTGACCCCTATGCTTGTGTGGTGACTCCATGTTAGATGGGCCCCTGACCCCTATGCTTGTTGTGGTGACTCCATGTTAGATGGGCCCCTGACCCCTATGTCTGTTGTGGTGACTCCATGTTAGATGGGCCCCTGACCCCTATGCTTGTTGTGGTGACTCCATGTTAGATGGGCCCCTGACCCCTATGTCTGTTGTGGTGACTCCATGTTAGATGGGCCCCTGACCCCTATGCTTGTTGTGGTGACTCCATGTTAGATGGGCCCCTGACCCCTATGTCTGTTGTGGTGACTCCATGTTAGATGGGCCCCTGACCCCTATGCCTGTTGTGGTGACTCCATGTTAGATGGGCCCTGACCCCTATGTCTGTTGTGGTGACTCCATGTTAGATGGGCCCCTGACCCCTATGCCTGTTGTGGTGACTCCATGTTAGATGGGTCCTGTTGACCCTGTTATGTCTGTTGTTGTTGTGACTCCATGTTAGATGGGACCCCTGACCCCTATGCTTTGTTGTCGTGACTCCATGTTAGATGGGCCCCTGACCCCTATGTCTGTTGTGCGGGAAACCAAAAGGATTAGGCGTCAAACAACATCTGGAATATTCCATTGTTTTTGTTGAACGCCGCATTATAATATTCCAGCTATATGATGGTGGTCTGTCTAGAGATTGACATCATGAGCATCGATCGATGTATGCAATTTTGATATGATGACATGTGACAACCAAGTCAGGGAGCCTGACCACCCGATCCCGTTAGTCGCCTTTTACGACAAGCATGGGTAGATCGATGTAAGAATCTGCATCGAAACGTCGCTTAAGGCAATAAACAAGAAGTTGTCATCCATAAAGTTGTATGTTTCATTTTTGACTCACCAACTTCTAGAATGCCGATCAAACAATTAGTATTGTTGCTCATATTGCATGCTTAGGTTGACATCCATAAATTCACCCTTTCACGTGGCACACTTCCAAATGCCCTTCAAAGACAAGTGGTTTACTGTTCTGGTACTGTACAGTACAGAAACGCATGTCTTGAATATTGAGTGAGTGAGTTAAAAGTTTACGTCGCATCGACATTATTTCAGCTTCTGCCATATAGCGACGAGACCATATCTCTACATATATAAGTCCGTTGTACAGGTCATATTCAAAGAAAGATGACCGATCACTGATTGAATACACATGCACAGATTGCAACGATTGTTGCATGACTTGTCGATGTCCTACTGTCCCATCAAACGGTCGATGTTTATATACTGCACCATCAAATGGTCGATGTACCGCCCCATCAAACGGTCGGTGCACTGTCCCATCAAGACAAGCATCGGTTGCTGAGACCACTGCTTATCACATTATTCATAGAAAGGCTTTCACTGGTTTCTTTGGTACGTGTCTCTGACCACGACACATTTGCATGGTCCCCTTTTACGACCAGCACAGGTTGTCGCGGGCTTATTCCCATAGGGTCAGTGTGTGAACATGGACACTACTGAAATTACTGTTTGTGTGTTTGTTTTTAACGATTTACTCAACAATATTTCAGGTTCATGGCGGGGACCTGCCGATAATGGAGTCTGGATCTGATAAACCAGTGATAGCTTATTAGCCGAATATGTTTTAGTAACTGTCATATATTAGGAATATAATAATTTGGTGAGTCACACAATTGTGCTACTGGAAAATTGGTCTGTTCGTAAATTTTAAGTTAGACGTTAGTTTCTGGACTCTTTTTGGGTTTAGGGATTAAACAGCGAAACAGGCCCCTTCGACGGGGAGCAGTCATTATGTTATTATGATATGCTTCAAAAATATATGGCTATTAACAATTTAAAAGCCCTTTCTTGCATTAAACCATTGTACTGTGGTTTATGTTATTAGAAGTGATTAATTGTATTAACATTTGCATAATTGTTTTCTGGTGAATTGGAAATGTGAAGAGTCGATAAAGAATGCTCCCTCGCACCTACCGGAAGTTCGTCATTGCCAAGGAGATTGTACACAAGCTCATCGCATCGCATCTTCTTGTCATTTTGATTCAATACATCGGTATGATTTCTTGATATTTTGAGATAATAGCACCTGCATTGTTTTCTTAATTGAAGATGCATTAATTTGGATGCGTAATGACTGATGCCTTTGATCCTAGTAATGATCAATGCATTATCGATAATTTTCTCACACCATTAGCATCACTGACACTGTCATCATCACTTCATTAGGCCAACGATGACCATTACAATCACGGAAACCTGTCTTAAGTGTTTTTTATAATTCTCATTTTTGTACAAGCAATGGAAATTCAAATACAAGAGCGGTGTCTGGATTACCGAACAAGAAGTAATTTCCGTATCTGTACTTTTCTCAAAATCATTCTCGTGACAACAACTTCTATGAGTATAGTTTGAGAGCGGAATTTCGTTTTCCAGCAAACATATCTTTTGACATCTTGAAAAAGACTAACAGGACAAATTTATGGATACCAGTACTTGATTATTATAATATTTCATTGCCACAGAAAGATTTAAATTTGGTTGGGTTACCTACGTAGCTGAGATAGACAGCGAGAAGGCATGTTTATTTTATCATTAATAAACATGATAAATATGTAGTGGTATAGTGATCTTAAAACTTCCAATCAATAACGCCTCTAGTTCTATTTCAAAGAAAATCTAAAAAGAGAACAAGGACAAATAATTCCATGTAAGGGAGGTAATCCTGACGATGTTACTTGGTGGGGATCTTGTAATGAAAACAAACATAAACAGGAGGACCTAGCTTTGTTTTTATAATAAGACTTGTTTTGTTCCAGACAGTGTGTCGGTGCACTGTGTAGGATGACGTGACCCAGAAGCAACAGTGCCATCATGGTTGAACAATATCAAGAGCAATACATGCTGGATCTCCTGCAGGACTTGAGGACCTCCAAACTCTACACAGATCTCCACAATGCAGCGCAGGTCTGCAGTATTACCTGTGTCAACAATAACTGTAACATAGTATTTGATTGTGTATGTTGTCAGATAGAACAAACTCTCTTTTAGGTTTTCATGACTGCTCTGGGCTTAATAGAGATGTTAATGCAGGTTTAAGAAAATGATTCATTTTGATTTCTCTTGAATGGGAGATAATTTCTATCCAAGAATATTCTTGGAATAAATAACATGTGACTCTAGTGTATGTGATGCAATAAATGACGCCTGCGTCATATGAGGTTTTTACTCCAACATTAATCTGCCATGCCCTGATACAACTGGAATATCATTCAAAGCTGCTTTAAGCTCAACCGATTTACTGAAATATTCTTTAGAAATATATTAATGTGAAAGTGTGAACATTTTAGTTCCTTTTTGACAAGTTTTACTTAAATTTTCTAAAAATGGCCACATAGATTTGTTTTGCTTTCAATTCAGCATCAGTTCTAAGCTTTCCTTTTTTCAGAAATTTAGGTTTAGCAATATATTTATTCTTTTCACAGACAGAAGCAGCCAAGGCAAGTCTCCGTATCTCAGACTTGAAAAAGGGTGTACAAGCTGGACTTGTACAGTCAGGTACTGAAGGGTTGTGCTCAACTAGTGTATGTAGGAGATTGCTGTTACATTTAGTGCTTAATGAAACTGTCACTCTCTGTTATTATGCCAATAAGCAATAAGTAGTGATACAAATCTGAGCTAACAGACTCATATAAAGGGGCCCTTGAACTAATGAACTTGCTATGATTGCCAATTTGACTCCCCATTTTGAGCAAAGAATTCTAAGCAATAGTCAAGTCAATCAGTTAATGCATGTCAGAACTGCACATGCATTTGAACTCCCCTATGTCCATAAGTGTATTTGAACTATGACATTGTTGACCACACTATTAAATCTTGTGATATCACCATGGAAACACCATTGTTTGGAGAAATTTATTGCTATTCATTAGCAGTTATTTTATCCAAACACGAGCTGAATTTGACGTTCTGGTGATTTCAATGATTGCATTGTTCGCGCTATATTGGGGGTGTATTTGCGCGATCGGAGAGCACAAGCAGTTTCATCAGCAGGGCAGATGCCCAGTCACTATCGTGAGAAGTTTTATTAACAGTTGAAATCCGGAAGTTAAGTTATATAGAAAGCAAACAAACATCAATAATATTTACCTGAGATCGTTGATATTATACCACTTCAGATGCAAAATCAATTGCCTTTCTAACAAAAAATAGCAAACGAAAATTCAGTAAGATCAGTCACCTGCTAGTAACAGGCAATATATAAATAGGAAGCCACGTGATCACAACAATCCCTCGCAGTGCGGAGCAAAACGTATGGCTCATCGTCGAATACCCATACAAAATCCCTGCATGTGGTGAGCGGCAATAGTTTTGCCGATACGATGTCATCGACACTATTTTTGTAGGAAACACTTGATATTTTGGGGTGAAATAAATGAATTTATCCTTTATCACTCAAGGTTAGTAAAATAAAAACTTTAAATGATATTACAGATAAAAATTATGTTTTTGTCTTACATCGTCAAAAAAACCTGACAACAGGATATATGTTCTCCTGAACCATAGACATGTTTATCAGAATGTGTGTAATTCCTGATGGGATCATCTCATAACAAGAACAGGTAGGAGGATAGACAAATATATGTGCATCTGCTGACTAACAAAGAAACAGAATCACAGATTAACATAATCCGGGATTCATACCCACAAAAAGGTGGCTGGCAAACCCCAAGGGACGCAACTCTGCACAGTTAGCCATCCTCATTATGGAAAAAGTAAACTTAAAATCCTACAGTCCTGAAAACAGTATTTGCCACTTTAAGTTGGCAAGAAATGAGTCATCTTGTTTTGTTCTTGTTGTTCCCAGGCTGGGACAGACGACTGCGCAATGCTGTATGTAAGTACATACAGACCCACCCCAAGGCCTCTCAGCCGCATACCCCCCCAGAACAGACCAAGGAACCCTTGGCTCACCTCAGGAAGGCACAGGTAGTCACCACAACTCAAAGTACTTGGAGAGATTTGTATCAGGTTCTGTTATTGTCAAATATTGTGTTAGATTTTATCTACATATTTTGTGTACCTGTGAAGATCCGGGTTAGAATTGGTCTTCAGCAACTCATGCTTGTCGTAAAAGCTGATTAACAGGATTGGGTGGTCAGGCTGGCAGACTTCTTTGACACATGTCATCGTATCCCAGTTGCGTAGGTGAATGCTCATGCTGTTGATCACTGGATTGTGGTCTAGACTCTATTATTTGCAGGCAGCTGGAATATTGCTGAGTGCAGCATTTAACAACAAACCATCCAACTACATATTTTGTTATGCGGTCTTTTACCTTCAAGTATTATATCATCAGACAGACAGCACTGAAACATCAAGTCAAATAGGATTTGTGTCATGTTATTTGGTTACTGTAGCCAAGTAATGCTCTGAAGCCAGATGCTAGATTTTCAAGCTTAGTCCTAGTGTATGATGAAGTAAGATATGATAGGAGAGGTGTTAACATGGTCGTTGTTTTCATGACAGCAAGCGTGGGAGAAGAAAATTCTGAAGAGCCTGAACAGTATGTGCACAGAGCTGAATATTCCACTTGCTAGAAGGGTAAGGGTGACTGCTGCTTATGATGATGATCATGGAAATGATGATGATGATTCCATACTTCCTGTTGACTTTGGGGCATGCTTAAGACACATGCAGAAGATTCTATTTTATGACAGAGAAAATGTGTGCATAAATTTCTTAAATGGATAGTCATTTGCAGTGTTCATAGATGTGTGTCTTTAGTCTTCCTAGTTCGGATGTGAAAGATAACACAGTAGGATCAAAAGTTGTTTTTGTATGACCTGGAATTGGATGCCCTGAGATGTGTCGTGATAGTACTTGTGACAGTGATGATGATTTTTATTCAGAAGCATGTACAATATGAATGACCCCCCTAAAATTTACGTACAAAGTAAGTGACCCTTCCCTGCATATCATGTACAAAATCAATGACCCCCCTCCCCTTTCCATAATTTTCAAGCATAATTTTTAGATATTTGTAAGTACAAAATGGCTGACCAGGAGTTGTAATTAGAATTGCTGATATGTATTTTTTATCAGCGCCCAGAGCGAGAGCAGCGTGAGATGTCATCCCGCTGGACCGAACTTGGTACTGATGGTCCAGGTAATTATTGTGAGTAGACATCTTGGATCTCAGCATGCTGGTTGCCGTGACTGTGTGCCACAGGTTGAAGTGAAGCAAGTGTAGGGATTGCTAAAGATAGACACAGTCAACTAGAGCTGAGTTGATGAAGCGTATGGTGCATCTGGTAGTAAAATGAGTGTAGACTCGGGACTGTGTAACTAAGCATGGACAGATAGACACAGTCAACTAGAGCTGAGTTGATGAAGCGTATGGTGCATCTGGTAGTGAAATAAGTGTAGACTCGGGACTGTGTAACTCAGCATGGACAAATAGACACAGTCAACTAGAGCTGAGTTGATGAAGCGTATGGTGCATCTGGTAGTGAAATAAGTGTAGACCTGGGACTGTGTAACTACAGCATGGACAGATAGACACAGTCAACTAGAGCTGAGTTGATGAAGCGTATGGTGCATCTTGTAGTGAATCATGTATAGACCTGGGACTGTGTAGCTACAGCATGGACAGAGAGACACAGTCAACTAAAGCTGATTTGATGAAGCGTATGGTACATCTGGTAGTGAAATGTGTTGACTCGGGACTGTGTAACTCAGCATGGACAGATAGACACAGTCAACTAGAGCTGAGTTGATGAAGCGTATGGTGCATCTTGTAGTGAATCATGTATAGACCTGGGACTGTGTAGCTCAGAATGGACAGAGAGACACAGTCAACTAAAGCTGAGTTGATGAAGCGTATGGTACATCTGGTAGTGAAATAAGTGTAGACTCAGCATGGACAATTTGTGTTTCCCCCACCATCCAGAGTTACCTCCCCTAGCATGCATGTGCGGTTAGTCAGAAGGACCCCTGCCCCAAATCTTTATTTCTTCTGCTGTCACTCCTACTGTCATTTCTGTATTGTTAACATCAAGAAATCCGACCTGGTACCCACCCAGGATCTGGTTTACTTCGAAACAAGATTCACAACACATGAGGGTCTTGTTTCTCTCTTTTATCAAGGTACAGGAGAAGGTGTTTTTGTTTGTCTCTTGTCCCCTGGCTAGAACATGGCACCAACTGCTGGGTCACATGTCGTCAACCATAAATGTGGTGTGGCATGCTCGGTTGAGGATGTGCCCTATACAGCAGGCATGTCCTCATATTGCCTACACCCCAATTCGCCTACACCTCTATCAAAACAAATTTATGGATGAGTGCAGATATCACAATCACCTTCATCCCTTTAAGATATAATGAACTCTTCCAACAAGACAACAGCAATAACTCACAAAAAGGAATGCGTAACCGTGTGGCAATATGAGGAAAGTGAATCATTTATGGGTTAGTGGACACTTCCATTTTACATAACATGGGTGTGGAAGTAAACTTTTGTAATTAGTGTAGGCCAAATGGGGTGTTGGCGAATGAGGCGTAGGCAATATGCGGGCAAACCCTACAGCAAGCTTTGGCAAGTCAGTGGGCTCTCTCAGGAGATCTTGAGAAGGTACTTGTAGTCCTGGAGTGGTTAGTTCTTTATCTCCAGAGGTGGATAGATGTCAGGAATCTTTCCAAGAGATCCCTTTGGTTATCACAGCTCTGGCTCAAACAGGATGCATACCTCACCAGCTGAGCGGAATTCCTGCAGCAGTTGTAGACACAATTCTGGCCTCAAGACGGGATTTGACAAATGTTTGGTGGAAGGATAGGTGGGCCCACTATGTGTGCTTGTGTGCACATAAGGGGGAATTCCAGATCCCTTTTCTGCTCAATTAGTCCAGGTATTGGTATTTCTTCAGTACTAATTTGGAAAAGGATTCAGCAGCCCTGACCATTTGAGGGTAGTTCATTCAATGGTGCTCTTCTAGGGCAGCACCCTATAGGGCAGCACTTCTTGTCTGGCAAAAGGGTCAGGGACATTCATGTGATGTCTGCCTATTCTGGCACAGACAGTGACAATGTGACAATCCAACCTATCAAACTTCCTACCCATACCCAGCCTTTCACAGTCCTTTGAGAGTTTACCTGTTGGATGTCCGTATTGCCCGCAAAGTCTACATCACACAAACTACTGGGATCTGCAAGATTTCCCATTTGTTTTGAGGGTTGTGAACGCTATATGATCATTAGGGACCGTTTATAATTTATGGCTAGGGGGAGTGATGATGATTGTTATGGAGAAGCATGTACAATGTGAATGACCCCCCCTAAAATTTATGTACAAAATCAATGACCCCCCCTCAGCTTCCCATAATTTCTAAGCATAATTTTAAACATGCTTTTATGTACAAAATTGCAGACCCCTAGTATGTGTATACAAAATTGATGATCCCCCATAGCTCCCCAGAACAAAATGGGTGACCCCCTAAAAATCATCATTTACCAACCCCCACCCCCAGCCATGAATTATGAATTGTCCCTTAACATGTCTTAAGATGGAAATTGCTACGAATCCTTTACATGTCACCACCTGTCATTCAGCGTGACCTGGTAAGTGTAATGACGAGTCAACGCTATACTTTTTGCTATTTTGTTTTTTTGTACGCTGACAGAATTTCCTCTGCCCCAAATCTTTATTTCTAGTCTTCTTTGGGGTAGGACCTCCGATCTCCAAGCTATTCTGATAAGCATGAGGAATAATGATTTGGGGCAGGGGGTGCTCCTGGGTACCCATGCATGCGTGGTAGGGGAGGTAACTCATGGTGGTGGTGTTTGGGGGTAGGTGGGTGGATGGATGTAGATCAGAAAACAAAAAGTTCTTATTTGTACAGTATTTTTTTTGTAAAACACAAAAAATGCCTAATTGTACCCTCATGACTACTGATACAAGTGATACAAGTTTTGATACTAAGAATTATAGTACAAACTCATTATCATTATTACATTCTCACAGATATTTTATCCTGCTGTTTCAGCATGGTATCAACACCTGAAATGGTGCTCTGTTGTAGTCGTATTTGTGTTTCAACTGATTTTCTTTCACTCCCGATTGGGAGTCAGTGAGTGAGTTTTGTTTTAGATCGCACTCAGCAATATTCCAGCTATATGGCGGCGGTCTGTAAATAATCGAGTCTGGACCAAACAATCCAGTGGTCAACAGCATGAGCATCGATCTGAGCAATTGGGAACCGGTGACATGTGTCAACCAAGCCAGCGAGCCCAATCCTGTTAGTCGCCTCTTACGACAAGCATGGGTTACTGAAGATTAATATTCTAATCCGGACCTTCACGGGTACACTCCGATTGGAATTTCCAAATAGAAATGCGAAATATATGAAGTGGATTCATTTTAGATCTGAATCCATCTGATTAGCACAAGAATGTGCTCAACTTATATTTGGATTGGATGGTCAGTGTTCACTCTGGGTTTACCTGAAGTGACAGCTTGAGTGGTGTTCCCAGATCTTATGGAGGCGGTGGCATAGCCTTGTGGTTAAAACGGTCGCTTGTCACGCTGAAGACCCGGTTTCGATTCCCCACATGGGTACAATGTGTGAAGCCCATTTCTGGTGTCCCCGGCCGTGATATTGCTGGAATATTGCTGAAAGCGATGTAAAACTAAAACTCACTCGCTCACTCACTCAGACCTTATGCAGAGATCGTCACGATATGGCTGAAATATCGACTGTGTGATGGAAAATATTACTCAGTCAGAGAGATATCACATCAAAGCATTTGATCTGAATAAGATTGGATTAACTCAGGTCAGATCATCCACGTAGTGGATTTAGTTATTTAGTTAATCTTATGTGTACAGTGGCCATTAGACCATTGTGATCACAGTGACCACTGTTAGGGTGAAGCTAGGAACGATGGTCAGATGCTGCACCAAGACTTGCTATGTAACTGTAGTAATGGTGGTTGTGTTCACTGTGAATTGCAGTGAAACGATCGAGTGGAGTTGTTTGAATTGTGCACCCATTGCTAAACTAACTGAAGAAAATCACACCCTGATATATGAATATATCTATCTATACAATCCGTACAGTCCATAACAACAGCAGTGGGAGAGTTTGCTCATGGATGCTTCTCCAATTACAGGTTTAGCTGTGTCATGCTCTACCTCAGTCCCCTATTCACTTAAAATGGATTCTTCCATCCTGTTCCCAAATTTGTTCTTTCTAATTTACTCTTGGTTAATTCAACATCAATTCTCTCTATGATATGTGATCTATATGTAGCTCATGATATAATTTGAATGTGTGAAAGGTTATGATGTTTCACGATATGCACCAATTTGTTGAAAATTGCACCGTTCTGTTTGATTAAAATGTTGCAGCCTTTCTCAAAGACATTTTCAACCCTGCCATTTTGTCAGCCTGTACACAAACTAATGTCCTTCTTTTTTGCGAGTGTCTTGTGTAAATTGAATGTAAAACCCAGTGGGTTAAATGGATCTGGGCCTCCTTTCACAAATCAAAGCACTTAGGTGATCGTAAGTCACTAAGGTAACCTTAGTGCAATGTTAAAGAATGGGAGTTAAGGTTAACCTTAGTAAAGGTTGCTTCATTAAAGGATAGAGGCGATGGAGCCTAGTGGTCAAAGCGTTAACCTTAGTAAAGGACCGGGTTGCTTCATTAAAGGATACTCTTGTTCACAGAAAATGTCAGTACATATTCCTAAAGTGGTATAATCCCAAGTCCTGTTGCAGTAGGTATGACTGACGTTAAGGCTTTGGAGAGGTGACTTCTATTCACCAACAATAGTACAAGGATGAAAAATTGTTACATGGTGTTCATGCTTACATTTACTTCATTGCATTTATTACAGGGTTAAATTGCAATGTAAGATTACTTCTGAATGTAATCACTAAATCTTTTAATACTAAAACAAATTTGTCAAAATATGGTTGTAGATTTGTTTTGTTTACTGTTCGTATTGACCCTGCACAGATCTGAGTCAGATTCGTCCGGTGTATGCACCCAAAGATTTCCTGGAGGTTGTCATCAGTCTCCAGAACCCCAACTATCAGACAAGTCCAGCACCAAGGTAGGAGGACCTCACACTGTAGAATTAAGATGTTTCATGGTCCTTTCGTCCAGACCAAGTTTCATTTTAATGACTTTATTGTTGCAACAGTAATAAAAATACAACCTAATGTGTTGTATGTTTTAGTTTGTGTACAAAGAACAGATCAACTTGAAACACTTGAAATATTTATTTGGAAAATGATACTTGTGTTTTTGACAACAAATATTCTTGTCCAACTCCATTTTATGATTAGGTGAAATTAGAAAATCACCACTAGAATAAAATAGTGAATAACAAATATCAATCTTTATTATGCTGATAATTATGCAATGAATGATCTTTTGGTATCTTGAGATGTTGGATTGTTTTTGAGATCATCTATGTTGAATTTTCAGCCTAGGCTTTTTAAACAAACAAATATAAAATGAGAGTTCTCATATGCTTCAACATTTATTTCACTGCATGGTTGCTTTTATGTTCTAAAATGTAAACTGAGCTTTGTTTGATCACAAAGCTTTGTCTGAAACATTCAGAAATAACAACCCCTCAGTATACACACATTGTTGATACACATGCAGGGTTTTGATATCAATAAACACCATGAACATCTTGTTGTATCATGGTTACAGTTTACTGTTACAGTCCCTTGGAGTATTTCTATCGACTTATAACAAATTCATATGTTGCATCAATTATGGCTCATCTAAAATACCCCTTCAGGTTTATACAAGCAGATGCATTAATGCTGAAACATTCTACTATCACTGTCTGGTTTTTGTTTCAGTTTCTACAACTTTTGGGGCATTATTCAAATTCCATTAAAAGTGAAGGAAATAAATGAACTGGTGAGTGACGGTTTGACAAAGTCCAAATTATTTTCATCCTAAATACTGATCTCAACTTACATAATAGTTGGTTTCCAAGCAAGAAAGACTTCATACATTACCAGTTATGACTAGGGTCATTGTACAACACCACACCATCAGGTAGTGGGTCATTGCACCCATGCTTGTCCAGGCTCAGTATCTTCAGGCATTTCTTCAGGTATATGGTTTACATTCATAGAATATCCCACACGGAATATATTCTTTACATACATAGTACAGGTAATTTTCAGTTTCATGCACAGGGAGAATTAACAGACAGCATTTGTTTCACCATAATAGTGATGAGCGTGGCATTTATCTAGAGGATGAAAAAATCAGTTTGCATGATAGCGGAGGACAGTATTCAATACAAGTCATGCAAGTTAATTTGCTACTTGTAGTTGAACAATATGTTTTGGGGAACATTTGATGAAGTTGTGAGTGTTCAACCAGGATGTTGTCTACATGTTTGTTTGCATGATAGCATAAGGCTGAACCCAGTAGTAAGTAGTCATAATGACACAACTTAATTCTTGGTTGGTAAGGTACACAATATGAACAATGGCAGTTGGAACAAGTTAATGGTCAACTGAATTCTATTTCTGTCTTGTACATATTTTCAAGCTTGTTACTGCCTCACCTGGTGATAGTTGATATTTGCCTCACCTGGTGACTGTTGATATTTGCCTCACCTGGTGACTGTTGATATTTGCCTCACCTGGTGACTGTTGATATTTGCCTCACCTGGTGACTGTTGATATTTGCCTCACCTGGTGATAGTTGATATTTGCCTCATGTGGTGACTGTTGATATTTGCTTCACCTGATATTTATTTGCTCACCTGGTGATAGTTGATATTTGCTGGTGACTGTTGATATTTGCCTCACCTGGTCATTGTTGATATTTGCCTCACCTGGTGACTGTTGATATTTACCTGGTCTTGTTGATATTTTGCCTGGTGACCGTTGATATTTGCCACCTGGTGACCTGGTCATTGTTGATATTTGCCTCACCTGGTCATTGTTGATATTTACCTCACCTGGTGACTGTTGATATTTACCTCACCTGGTGACCGTTGATATTTGCCTCACCTGGTCATTGTTGATATTTGCCTCACCTGGTCATTGTTGCCTCTGACAGAGACTGCAGTACAGCGACATGTCCATCAACCAGTGTCAGACCGGAGTGGACGACTACACTGACATCCCTGTGGAACTGTTTGAGCAGGACAGAGTCAAACTTGGCAAAACTGGTAAGCAATGTATGAAATGTGCATAACTGAGTCAAACTTGGCAAAAGTGGTAAGCAAAAATGTATGAAATGTGCTTAACTAAGTCAAACTGGGCAAAACTGGTAAGCGATGTATGAAATGTGCTTAACTGAGTCAAACTAGGCAAAACTGGTGAGCAATGTATGAAATGCAGAAATAGAGTTCTTCATACCCATCCTGCAGGACGTCCAGGTTAGAACGGGTCATCAGAGCCCTGTGCTTTCAAAGTCAGCAGTCTAACCCACTCAGCCACCATAGCTTCCACAAAAATTGATGCCAGACAGCTGGTAGTCTAGATCATGTACTTTGTGTGCTAGTGATGAGGTGCCTCACTCTCAGAGTGCGGGTTGGACTCCCAGAAGATACTCAACCCCTAACAGTACTAAAATCTGTGCTTTACTGAGAATGTGTAATCCCAAATCTAACACATGTTGTATGCATATCTACGTTTGAGCTTCAGTTTTAACAACTGACAGTATTTTGCTTTGCCTCCATATCTTGTGTTTCTGAATATTTGATGATGTGAGTATTTCTGCCTGTGTACAGTGATCAAAGCCAACCACGGACCTATAGCACAGGAGTATGCAAAGAAAGGCTGCCCTGTCAGTTTGCGGGGCGAGCTGTGGTGTCAGATGTTGGTGGTTGAGGTGGATGATGTGGTAAGTGGATTATAATAGCAGCCAAAATGGTGCGTCATCACTGTTGTTAAACAGAAAGGATATTTGAGGCAGTTTTACTAAGGCAATAAGATGTGATAACACTGATTTTTCATGAATTCATTCTCGGTGTGTTTCCTATATTTCCAACATTCTACTTGTAGATTAAGTCACACTCTTTCAAATTATCTTCCTCATACTGATTCTCATATTCAGTCATACTTAAGACACACACAATTCCCAAAATTCCCAATTTTGACCTGTGTATCATAAACCTTTTTTGCTTAAAGAGCATGAAACAAAATTAAACATAAATGTTTTAACATAACTACTTTCTACATCTATGTATATGACCCTTTACAAGTTACTTTTACTACGATTTGGCAGGTTTATCTTTTGTTTTTTCTGCCCTGTCAAATAATATATATAAAATACCTGAAATCACGTTTTTAATTGTTAAAGGGTAAGTGTTTGTTTCACCCAGAGATAAATTGTGGATTGTGAATTATTCTGAAACAAATTCAATAGTTGCATCGTAAATCTTTCTTGAAAGAAATGTAAATGCTTGATCAAGCATGATTACTGTAATCTAATGGCTCATAGAAGTGAATGGTGTTTGCATTATGGTGGGTGTTTTCACGATTCTCTCCTTGTAGGATGTGCTGTACTATGACCAACTGAAGGCCAATGTGCTGCAGCATGACCTGCTAGTGGACAACTTGTTATATAAGGTAAGTCTGGTGTGTAGGTCAGTCTGGGTGGACAACTTGTTATATAAGGTAAGTCTGATGTGTAGGTCAGTCATACCTGCTAGTGGACAACTTGTTATATAAGGTAAGTCTGATGTGAAGGTCAGTCATACCTGCTAGTGGACAACTTGTTATATAAGGTAAGTCTGGTGTGTAGGTCGGTCACCTGATAGTGGACAACTTGTTATATAAGGTAAGTCTGGTGTGTAGGTCAGTCATACCTGCTAGTGGACAACTTGTTATATAAGGTAAGTCTGATGTGTAGGTCAGTCACCTGATAGTGGACAACTTGTTATATAAGGTAAGTCTGGTGTGTAGGTCAGTCACCTTATAGTGGACAACTTGTTATATAAGGTAAGTCTGGTATGTAGGTGAGTCAGACCTGCTAGTGGACAACTTGTTATATAAGGTAAGTCTGGTGTGCAGGTGAGTCAGACCTGCTAGTGGACAACGTGTTATATAAGGTAAGTCTGGTGTGTAGGTCAGTCAGACCTGCTAGTGGACAACTTGTTATATAAGGTAAGTCTGGTGTGTAGGTCGGTCTGACCTGCTAGTGGACAACTTGTTATATAAGGTAAGTCTGGTGTGTAGGTGAGTCAGACCTGCTAGTGGACAACTTGTTATATAAGGTAAGTCTTGTATGTAGGTCAGTCTGCCCTGCTAGTGGACAACTTGTTATATAAGGTAAGTCTGGTGTGTAGGTCAGTCTGACCTTTTAGTAATCTTTTGGTATGTTATATTCCTGTGTGATAATCCCTGTGTACTGATGTATTACACTAAGTCTTTTGGTATGTTATATTCCTGTGTGATTATCCCTGTATACTGATGTATTACACTAAGTCTTTTGGTATGTTATGTTCCTGTGTGATTATCCCTGTATACTGATGTATTACACTAAGTCTTTTGGTATGTTATATTCCTGTGTGATTATCCCTGTATACTGATGTATTACACTAAGTGTTTTGGTATGTTATGTTCCTGTGTGATTATCCCTGTATACTGATGTATTACACTAAGTCTTTTGGTATGTTATGTTCCTGTGTGATTATCCCTGTATACTGATGTACTACACTAAGTTGTTTGGTATGTTATATTCCTGTGTGATTATCCCTGTATACTGATGTATTACACTAAGTGTTTTGGTATGTTATATTCCTGTGTGATTATCCCTGTATACTGTTATATAACACTAAGTCTTTTGGTATGTTATGTTCCTGTGTGATTATCCCTGTATACTGATGTATTGCACTAAGTCTGTTGGTATGTTATATTCCTGTGTGATTATCCCTGTGTACTGATGTATTGCACTTAGTCTGTTGGTATGTTATATTCCTGTGTGATTATTCCTATGTACTGATGTATTACACTAAGTCTTTGGTATGTTATATTCCTGTGTGATTATCCCTGTATACTGTTGTATAACACTAAGGCTTTTGGTATGTTATGTTCCTGTGTGATTATCCCTGTATACTGATGTATTACACTAAGTTGTTTGGTATGTTATGTTCCTGTGTGATTATCCCTGTATACTGATGTATTACACTAAGTCTTTTGGTATGTTATGTTCCTGTGTGATTATTCCTATGTACTGAAGTATTACAGTAAGTCTTTTGGTATGTTATGTCCCTGTGTGATTATCCCTGTATACTGTTGTATAACACTAAGTCTTTTGGTATGTTATGTCCCTGTGTGATTATTCCTATGTACTGATGTATTACACTAAGTCTTTGGTATGTTATATTCCTGTGTGATTATCCCTGTATACTGTTGTATAACACTAAGTCTTTTGGTATGTTATGTTCCTGTGTGATTATCCCTGTATACTGTTGTATAACACTAAGTCTTTGGTATGTTATGTTCCTGTGTGATTATCCCTGTATACTGATGTATTGCACTTAGTCTGTTGGTATGTTATATTCCTGTGTGATTATTCCTATGTACTGTTGTATAACACTAAGTCTTTTGGTATGTTATGTTCCTGTGTGATTATCCCTGTGTACTGATGTATTGCACTTAGTCTGTTGGTATGTTATTTTCCTGTGTGATTATTCCTATGTACTGTTGTATAACACTAAGTCTTTTGGTATGTTATGTTCCTGTGTGATTATCCCTGTGTACTGATGTATTGCACTTAGTCTGTTGGTTTGTTATATTCCTGTGTGATTATTCCTATGTACTGTTGTATAACACTAAGTCTTTTGGTATGTTATGTTCCTGTGTGATTATCCCTGTATACTGATGTATTGCACTAAGTCTTTTGGTATGTTATATTCCTGTGTGATTATCCCTGTGTACTGATGTATTGCACTTAGTCTGTTGGTATGTTATGTTCCTGTGTGATTATCCCTGTATACTGATGTATTACACTAAGTTGTTTGGTAAGTTATGTTCCTGTGTGATTATTCCTATGTATTGATTGATTACATTCTGTGTTTCAGGATGTGAAACTTACAGCTACAAATGATGACCAGTATTTTGTTTTTGAGGATTTCCTGTACCAGGCATGTAGCACACAGTTACTTGAGACCATTTGACACTTTGAAAGTGAACCACTAACAGTGTTGATGTTTGCTCTCTCTGCATGTTCCATGTAATATTGTTGTGTCATTGATCTGGACGAAAAGGTCCATGGTAAAAGTTGGAAATTGTTAACAATATTCACACATAATCTTCTTAAAGATGTTCTGTGATGGATTCATAGGAATGACACAGTTGAAGATCAGTGTTTCTAAAAGTGTATAGTATATTATTATTTGATGCAATATATAAATGAAAACAAGAAGAAACTATTTTGCAGTTAGTTGATAAGTGAGGTAATGCTCAAGGTTTTGCTGGCAAGGTCACTGCTTCCTGACTGCTTTGTATGTCAACCAAATCTTCAGGGACATGTTATATGTCCCAGTCGGACATGTTATATGTCCCAGTCCACCCAGCTGTGAATGGGTACCTCGCAATATTTCGATGTGCCTTGTGGCAGCAAGAGTTGTATGATCACCAGGAAGTTGAGATTGATATTAAGATGCCGTTGAGATTGACATCCAATGATCGAGGGCAAAAATACCAGCGCCTTGAGCATGCACTATTGCGTGGATATGTGAGCTATATAAATATCCAGTAATATATCTGATTTTGCCATCCACGAAGCAACATTTGTTATCAGGAAATAATGTTTGTTCAATAAATCTAGCCAGGAAATATACACTGAACTTGGCACTTTTTATAAAATGATTCCCTCGTAAAACTTCTCCATCCCAAAACTGCTTCACGTTGCTCCCTGCAGGTGCTGTTGCCGTTTTCCCGAGATACTCATGTCCTGAAGCACTTCCAGCAGAGCAGTGCCACTCCCCCAAAGTCGTATATCCGGGGAAAGCTAGGGATTGAGGAATTTGCTGTCTTCTACCCTCCTAATGGAGTCATCCCCTTCCATGGCTTTGCCATGTATGGTATGCCGTTCATTAACACTACTCTGCAGATATGCTTGCATTTTCATCTAAGTTTTATTCTCCAACTAATCAGTGATTGTGATATCTGTTTTATTGTCTCATCTGTACTTCAGCATCTCGGGCATTTCATCATGTCCTGTGTTTGAGTGTCTCCTTTATGTTTCGGTGTGTCTTTCTCCGTTTCCCCAATTCTCCTAATTTTTCAATTTCTCCTTCCCTGTTGTTTCAGTGTCTCCTCTGTGCTTCTTGTACAAGGAGCCAGTCAAGCTGTACTATGTCTTCCGGGAGCTCTACATGCAGTACTTCTTCCGTTTGCACAGTGTCTCCTCCCATCCAGAGGTAAGACTGCTTCTACACTTTGTTAATATTGAACATTGTCTTTGTTATTAGACCATATATATCAGTGTGATTCTACTTTGTATCTCGCCCCCAGCCCTTTTTAGCATTGCTGACTTGTACTGGCATTTAAAGTATCACTGTAGAACTAGAGAAATAGGTGCTTTTTGAATATTTCATTTCAGTGTGTACACATGTATAGCAATGCAGTCTGTTGTATACATGTTTATCTTATGCCTGGAGAGTACAACCCTTTAGTCCTAAGCACAATATTGCACAAATTTAGATCCGACTAGTGATCAGGCTAAGTAGCTTGAATCATTGTATGCCATCACACCCAGGTGTTGATTTTGTGTACAGGGTATCGTGGGGCTGAGTCAACTGTTTGAAAAGCTGCTACAAGAACAAGAACCACAACTCTTCTACCACCTCAAGTCTGTTGGCTGTCAGCCGTGAGTCATACCCGTGTCTTCAAATTGTCTTTAACAAGAACAGTCACAACAAGTCAGGTTTTCATAGGTCGCTGTTTTTATTTTACACATTCCATAGCAGATTTCTGTAAATAATCCAGCAGCATTTGTTTCCCACACTAGGCTTCTTAACAGCACAGGGGCAGTGGGGTAGCCTAATGGTTAAAGCATTGGCTCGTCACGCCGAAGACCCGGGTTCGAATCCCCACATGGGCACAATGTGTGAAGCCCATTTCTGCTGTCCCCCGCCGTGATGTTGCTGAAATATTGCTAAAAGCGGCGTAAAACCAAACTCAGTCAGTCAGTCAGTCTTAACAGCACTGAGTATTCCATCTAATTGTACTGGATATAGAGCTAAAAATGTCTAGACTGCATTAACAACAAAGTGAATATTCATTATTTACACATTTGATTCCTTTTCGAGGGATCACATCACCATTTATTTATTTAGGTAAAGAACTAGTTGCAGAAATGGTGCAAGCTCTGCAGTATTTCTGCCAGAGTAATTGATCTGTAGATCACTAGGAGTTCTGTATTTTCAACTGGAGATAGTGGACATGGTCAATCCATGAGGAACTTACCCACTGTTTTATTCACCTGCACTCACATTTGCACTAATTATTCTTCAACTCACTATAGATGCCCGCAGCAAAAGAACACAAAAGTGTTGTTAAAGTATTTCATCATAAGTCTGAGCCTTGTGGCTGTACTCTCCCCATGATATCATATTGAAGTGTATTGGGGCATGACTCTGCTGTACCTAGTGGGGATTCCTGGACAGAATATGTCCACAGCACCAGATACAGCCAACATTTACAGTCCGTTTGAGTCAGAAACGGACCGATGAATTGAAGATTTGATCATTGTACAAAATTGCCACATAAATATAAATAGTACACATGTTTATCATTTACTAATACCCAACAGCTTCCTTATATTTGAAAATTTTCCGGACTCCACCAAAAAAGTTCTTTAAGAAACTATCATTAAAATTTTGACACAGTTCACTATTTGTTACGAGGGAGGAGTGCAGAGAAAGGGACAGCCAGGTGTTAGAGAAGCACGTGCACAAGTGCCCACCAAGTTATTGATTCATTAGCCTGTGCTGTGCCGTCTCCATCCTTTCTCGCACACCTGGCTGTCCCTATCTCTGCACTCCTCCCTCGTAACAAATAGTGAACTGTGTCAAAATTTTAATGATAGTTTCTAAAAGATCTTTTTTGGTGGAGTCCGGAAAATTTTCAAATATAAGAAAGCTGTTGGGTATTAGTAAATGATGAACATGTGTACTATTTATATTTATGTGGCAATTTTTTACAATGATCAGATTTGCAATTCATCGGTCCGTTTCTGACTCAAACGGACTGTAATGGGGTACACTGTTATGACTCTTCTGTGGTTTTTCCTGTATCATGGATAGTGGCCTTCAGGCCAAGGTGATATAGTTGGGATATGGCTAATAGTATCATCATAAACTGACTCCTTCATTTCTTTATGGTGGTGTGAAGTGAAGGCCGCATTGCATTCAAGGGAAGTAACTCTTTCAGCCTTGTTTGCAGAGATTCAATAGCCGCACCTGACATACAATAATACTATTGTATAGTAATTGACTGGCATGATCATGGTGATAGTGAGAGGTCAGTGTGTCAGAGTCTGTTGACTGCTGTTACCTACCAGCACAGCGGTACTTCACAGGTGTCTCCAACTGCTATTGTTGTTCACTGATCTCTGTCCAGGCTGTCTGGAAATAAAGGGCCAAGATCTGTTTCTTAAATTCCTGGAAACAAATAATTTGCCCTCAAGTTTTACACAGATGTACAATAGTCAACATGACAAGCGTGAGTGTATTGTATAGCAGTGGATACCACGACATACAATGTATGCCTGTTGTAATTGTATTTACACCAGCCCAACATCCTGGCATTTGTTACCTTAAAAAGACTTTTATAAATGCTTTCATTTTTCAGACTGAAAATATCGTTCAAGTGGATGATGAGAGCATTTTCTGGTTTCCTGGCCAGTGAGCAGGTCTTGCTGCTGTGGGACAGGATCCTGGCATACCGTTCCTTGGAAATACTGCCTGGTACTGGGGACTCATTCACACCTGTTTTTGTCTATTATAAAAATATTTTTCATTCTTTCCTGCCATTAATGATATTTTTGCTTGCTCATTTGCGTGTTCATTTGTTGTTCTTAATGTTATCTTGAAGCAATTGTGGTTAAGATTTACTGATATGAAGGGAGACAACTTCTCCAGCTATATTTCATCCTGGTTTCTAGAATAGGCAGTGTCGCTTAGTGTAAAGATGCCATAAAACATACTTTACTGTATGTTGTTTTGTTAGCTTCATGTTGTATGAGTTCAGCTTTTTCAGTTGTTTGTTGATGTGTGTTGTTTTTGCATATGGATTTTATTGATACGACAAAACATGTTTGAGTATCATGAAAAAACTGGCGGCAACATGTCATAGAGTGGATTGAAAGAACGCTTGCAAAATCAAACTCATCCCTCAACATAATATCCCAGACTGCATTGATTCTTGCAATATAACACATGGGATTGGAATCTTTTTTCATTCCTAGTGGGTTTTTATAGAGAGATGTTTGATAGTGGGACATTGCATTACTTTAGTCAATACTTCATGTTCCATAAAAGCCATATTTCTGAATGGTTGCTTGGCATGGCAAGAGTAAACTCAAAGGAAGCTAACAGAACATTTGCACCAAATATTAAGATGTCTTCAGTTACACAGCAATGCTAATATATATTTTAATGCATATAGCCAGGTTGCCTGAATCACTCAACATCAATGGACAAAATTGTCTGAGCCATCAGTCTTCATTCTCTACTGGTTTCAGTTACTGTAGGCGATTCTGTTTTAAAATAAATTCCGGTGCAGATGTTCTGTTTGAATTAAACCATGTGCAGATTTTTGGTTAGAATTAATGCAAGTGCCGTTTTTTGGTTAGATTTACTGCTGGTTCCAATTTTGCTTAGAACTAATGCTGGAGCAGATGTTTGTATAATTAATGCTGGTGCACATTTTTAATGACATTGCCGATTTTGGTAAGAATTATTACCGGTGCCGAATTGTGGTTAGAATAAGTGCCTGTGCCGATTTTAGGTTAGAATGAATACCTGTGCTTATTATTGGTTGGGATTTATATCTGTGCAGATTCTTGGTCAGAATTAATACATGTGCAGATTGTTAGTTAGAATTGATGCCTATATGGGTCTTTGTTTAGAATTAGTCTGTAGCGACCTATGTTAGTCATAACAGGTGACCAGAAGGATCAGGTGGTCAGACAGTGACTTGGTTGATGGAATGAATCATTGTTCCAGGCTACAAGCTGCCAACATATAGATGGAATATTGCTCAGAACAGCAGAAAGCAAACACTAATCAAACCAGTGTTAACTCAGTATTCCCTGGAATTCACAATATCAAAACCCAGGAGCATAATTCAGGAACAAAAATATTGGAATCCAAATAGCATTTGATACTGTCAGGTAATGATTCAGTGTGTTCGGTGACCTTCCATCTGTCTCATGACCAGTGGAAATCTTTGCTTGTTTCAGTGTTATCCGTGGCCATCTTCTCGTTCCGTAAGACGAACCTGATGAAGGTGCAGACATTTAATGCTGCTGAGGTAGGTGTTGCTTGTAGATGTCTGGATTGACCTTTATCATTGGGAGACGGTTTTGTTTCCTTTTTCCAATAATATCTTGCGACATTTTGTTTGAGGTCCTATTAAAGTGTTAATGTCAGTCTGTGAGCTCTATTGACAGTGATTGAGATGTGGAATGATTGTGGTTTTAGTTCACCTTGCTATCGTTAATAAATAACATCTTCAAATACAATTTACATATGTGTATAGACGTGTATTATGTTGAATATGAAGGCCCTGTGATGGAAAAAGTTGTAGTACAAATGGTATGGTGTCAGTCCCAGGTGTGTATTATATGGAAGATGAAAGCCCTACATTGGAGATACCCTTGTATAGTGAGTGAGTGAGTGAGTTTGGTTTTACACCGCTTTTAGCAATATTCCAGCATTATCCCGGGGCGGGACACCTGACACTCTAAGTAGAAATGGTATCGTCTCAATCCTAAATGGTATCTGCTGTGTATTATATTGAGTATAGAGACTCTTCTATGGAGGTACTCTTGGTACAAGTGGTATCGTCTCAATCCTACATGGTATCTAAATGTGTATTTTATTGAGTATAGAGACACTTCTATGGAGGTACTCTTGGTACAAGTGGTATCGTCTCAATCCTAAATGGTATCTAAATGTGTATTTTATTGAGTATAGAGACCTTTTCTATGGAGGTATTCTTGGTACAAGTGGTATCGTCTCAATCCTAAATGGTATCTGCTGTGTATTTTATTGAGTATAGAGACTCTTCTATGGAGGTACTCTTGGTACAAGTGGTTTCGTCTCAATCCTAAATGGTATTTGCTGTGTATTATATTGAGTATAAAGACCCTACTATGGAGGTACTCTTGGTACAAGTGGTTTCGTCTCAATCCTAAATGGTATTTGCTGTGTATTATATTGAGTATAAAGACCCTACTATGGAGGTAATCTTGGTACAAGTGGTTTCATCTCAATCCTAAATGGTATTTGCTGTGTATTATATTGAGTATAAAGACCCTACTATGGAGGTAATCTTGGTACAAGTGGTCTCGTCTCAATCCTAAATGGTATCTGCTGTGTATTATATTGAGTATTAAGACCCTACCATGGAGGTACTCTTGGTACAAGTGGTATCGTCTCAATCCTAAATAGCCTTTATTATCAAGATTGATTAAAAGATATTCTGTAAAAGGTTGGTTGGTTCAGGCTAACATCTCTGGATCTTTCCTTTCCCTTTGAATATGTTCGTCAATTTGACAAGTGCCAATTGTGCACATATTATATTGGGAACTTTATGACCACGTGACATATGTTCCTTCTGAGAGCTGCAGGATTAATGGCACTCAATCACATGGAGTTCTTACCAGCCTTTTATCTATGATAAAAAGGTATGTGAGAAGAAAGTTTGTTGTGTCAGGTGAGCTACAGAGCCATCTTTGCGTAAAGATGAGAGGGAAGGAGTTGGTCGTTATTTGTGAGCAGGCTGATCATAAAATGTGGCAAGGGTTGTTTGAAAATAGAATGATGTAGGCTGTCATAAACCTGATCAAACGATACACCAGATTGACAACTTTAGAAGAAGCCACTTCAAACTTCTTGTTCAGAGCCTCTCATCCATAACAAGTCTCCTGTTTGGTGGCCAGAATCAGTGCCACACTTGTGGTAGACAATGATTTTGGTGAGTGATATGTAGTATTTCTGCTATATTTGTCTATATTTCAGGCGGTCCTGGCAGATCTGACGACATTGCAAGTTGTCCCACTCATCCAGCTTAGTCTTTTCTCTCAGTGATCAGCAGACAATCCCAGCTTGGCTCACTCCTGCCTTTAGGAAATGACTAACGGCAGTTTTGTCTCAGCACAAGATAGCCTTATCGCAATGTGAATATTTAGACAACAACCCCCAATTTATAAGGTATCTCAGATTAACTGTCACAGATTAGCAAACCAACGTGAATACATGAAGTAAGCCTCAAGGCCCTTTTGATGTCTTATAGCATTGATATTTCATAAATCTGAGTATCCTGGCTATATGTATGTATATAGCCCATTGCTTTTAAGAGAGAGAATGAAGAATACAGATGAAATGTCATCTTAGAACGAAAACCTAAATGCTGTTGACTGTTGACAGGTGATCACACGGATTCAAGTGTCCAATTATCATTTTGATTTGTCATACTGTACATGTGCAGGTATCAGAAGGCTATCACACTGAGTGTTTCTATCGGAGGTCTTCTGTACGATAATGTTACCAGTTGGTGAGGGATGTTCAAGGCTCAGCTGGTTGGAGGACAAGTGTAGCCACATTGATACAGTTGTTTCCGTGTAATATATTGAGAAAAATTCAATTATCACTAGTTGCTACTACTGCCAGTGTGAAAGATTGAAGCATGCAGAGACGCATATAAGAATCATTAATTATTCTGTGGTGACAGTTACAATGAAACGACATGGTTTTGAAGCGATTGAATCAAGGAATGAATGAATGAACAAATGAATGAACGAATGATTGAACCAACAAACAAACAAACAAACAAGCCAACGAATGAATGATGGTAGACATCTATAGGCAGTCTGACAAAAGTGAACATGGGAACTAAAACAAATTATTCCTTCACCATAAAGCTGTAGTCCAGTGGAGCTTGACTATTGTTATGGCTTCATTGTCAGTATGAGTCAAGAAGGATGAGGTTCGATAAAGGTTCTTTAGGTCCACAGGAAATGTCAGAATTCTAAAGTTTAATATCTGGACTTTGTTGAACATGAAAAAGGATGTAAAGGTTGAAATATAAGAAAATATGGCAAAAAGAATGAAAAAACTCGCAGCTACCAAGATGAGGACCTGATTGTACACATTATGTGAGAATCACACACAACTAGCAGACATTCAAGATATGTGTGTTAGACCAGAAACACCAAAAATTATTACTTGGACATGCTCATTATGACAACTAGTTAATTTTAGACCCCCATATTTATGAGGTTGGTTTTTTGGACCACCTCCATGGTCCAATGTATAGAACATCTACCTTGAGAAAGGGAGGTTCTGGATTTGATCTTGTGGACATCATGGCAAAAGATGGTGGTTCTTGTGATCCTTTCTGGCATTCAGCATTAGTGGGATAAAGCAATGGGACAGTGTGTGGGGTATCCATGTTGAACTATGTCACAATATTGCAGGGGTCCATCACTAAGAAACTAGCCTTTGGTCCAGAGTATTACTAATGGCTCCACAAAACATGTGCCTGCAGGTCTGTTTGATAGTGAACTATATTGAAAGCAACAATAATCCCGTTTCACCTGCTATCCGAAGCCTCTCTTAAATTCTGTTTGGAGCTGTTGTATTGACAGGGGGATGCAGTTTCAAACAGGGATGAGGAACTTGATACAACACATTTTAAGGAGGATTGATAGCACTTGGGAAGACCACTGTACAAAGGGGTACACACCTTGGTAGTTAGAAATACCATAATGCCCAAATACCAAATGTTTGATTCTGCGTGTACATCTGTGCATTTGTATGGTTGGCTGTGTTGAGAAACTGACATGTAATGAAGATGTAAATATATAATTTAGATATTTATTGATGCTTTTGATATTTGTTTTTGTCTTTACTGAATAAAGTTAAAAAGGTCACATCCTAGTGAACATTTTTAATAAGGAAACAAACCTGTGTACATTTTTATTGTTTGATGAACTAGTCACTAACTTGTGCTGTTGAGTGACTTCCTCTGGTTTCGGAGCAGTAGGGTAGCTTAGTGATTAAAGTATTTGCTAGTCTTGGGGCCGATTCTCAGTACAAAAAAATTGGCATATGTCATTTGTGTGCCCTCGCCATGATTTGCTGGAATATTGCTGACATCGGCATAAAACCGCAATCACTCACTTATGTGGTTCCTTGTCTTTCTTGGGGCAAATGAGACAAGAGGTCTATCATTGCGTCTGACTCCTCATGTAGCCTTGTGTAGAGGACATGGTGTGTGACTCACATGGGTCAATTTAAGAATCAGGTCTAAAATACATTAATTTCAATGCTTGCTCATAGTTGCAATTTCGTAAACTGTGTGAAAGAAAAGAGGCTACATTCCGAAGACGCCAGATGACTTTCATTCAAACTAGTTTCAAGTACCCTACACATTTTTCGTCTTTCCTCATCGTTCCATTACGTGTGAATACTTTCATGCCTGCCACATGTACCTTGCAGATTCCAAACTCTCACTTGTTCAGAGAGGATGAAAATATGTCCATCTCCACCTGCTTTTCTGCAGAGGAAAATCTGATAGCATTTTGACCTGTTGGAATGTTTCCTGTTAATGAAACAAAAGGTTACAACCACTTGAGATAACGTACATGGACCACATGAACGTAACGATACGTACACTGTTTTCCTCTGCAGTAATACAAAGTTGTAGAAATGGTCATACGATGCTATTCTCCTTTTCTGGCACTATAACCAGAATAGGTACAAAGAGTTTCTCCATAACTGCATACAACTCTTTGACAATGGGGGACGATGGGGTATCCTAATGGTTAAAGCGTTCGCCCGACACACTAGAGACCCGGGTTCGATTTCCCACATGGGTACAATGTGTGAAGCCCATTTCTGGTGTCCTCCGCCGTGATATTGCTGGATGAATGCTACAAGCGGCGTAAAACCAAACTCATTCACTCAATCTTTAAAAATGGAACAAATCCAGTGATTGTGCCACTCATACATTCTACAGAGAATGAAAGCACGTGTGTATCAGAACCTCTAGAACGCCGAGGATCAGTTATTGTTATCCATGGCGACAGGATTGGCACAAGACTCTTGAAACGGATGAAACGGCCATATTGATTTCAGAAACTATTTCATAAGTCGGAGTTGTCATACATCGTAGATTAAGATTTTCCTGTCAAGTCGATCTCGTCAAAAAGCTTTAACTTGGATGTAATCATTATGCCATTCCCAAACTAAATATTTCCAGGAAATGAAATCGCGCAGAATGCACCTTTGAAGCTGGTACTATAAAAATTATCGCAAGTTTTAATCCAAAAATGCAAAGAACATGGTTATTCCAGGCGTCATTTCCTTGGTATTTGATGAGAATAAACACGTTTAAATATGGTAGTGGTGTAAATTGTCATCAGCGTAACCGATATCGATGGTTCTCAAGTTTGCAATGGCAGTCAAACGTGGTAATGTATTCGATGGCGCTCTCAAAGACGACACTGACTGACGGGACTCACCGAAGAGTTTTCCTGAACCCAACGACGAGATTGAGATCCCACAATCAAGCAATCTCGTTCCCTAGAAGCTTCCCCCATTGTGCCAAGTTTCAAGAAGCCAGCATCAAACAACTTGTCCTTATAAATCAGCTCTCGGGTATTGTACGGAATTAATATCATTTACAAATCGGTTGATGTTTTGTGTGAAGGGCTTCTGAACATTTGGATATCATATCGACTCAGTTGAGGCATTGAGTGTCATATGACAGCTCAAAACAGAATACTGCACATTCTCGCGACCTCGACCTTTGGATACGAGAACGCGAGATTTCGACAACAGCACCATGAATCATTGAATACTTTGAAGGACCTTACGTGCTCTTATTCTCGCAGTTTTGGCCTATTTGGCGGGTTTCTCAAAGGTCGTGATCGCGAAACACCCCTTACAGTATTCCATTGCTGAATGATTCGTATTGCTGTCATTTTCTGTGAAGTGCCGCTTGTGTTTTATCCTCAACGGGAAGTGGTATTGTTACACTACCCCGTGCATCAAGGCAGCTTTGGAATATAAGTCTTAGAGTATTTACCACAAAAACCAATGGTTGACAGCATGAACAACGAACCATGCTGCTGAGTATGGTGCTACATAATCACTCTCTCATTTGTTCAGTATTTCTGTTTAATTTAGACAATTCACCAATATCTCCAATGGTGTACCCCTTGCTGGTTAGAGCCGAGAGTTGGGGATCAGGTGGTCAGGCTGTGTACCTTAACATCACATTGTTCCGAGGCTAATGACCTGATAACCGTGCAGATCCGGATTAGAATTGGCCTACAGCAACCCATGCATGCCGTAACAGGCGACTAACGTGATCGGGTGGTCAAGTTCACTGACGTGTTTGCATGACTTGATGTATGCCAATTGATTTTCATAATGATTATACAATGCAATTTAGAAAGTGGTCAAATGTAACATTACACTTTCTTAGTGTGCTGGCGATTAGGTGCCTGACTGTGAGGGTGCTGGTTCGAATCCCGGATGGGACTCAACCCAACAAAAGTACTAGAATCTGTACTTTACTAAGAAAGTGTAATCCCAAATATAACATATGTTAGATTTGCATAATGCCAGTCGGGGCGGTGGGGTACTTTAATAGTCACGTGGAAGCCCATCTCTCTCTGGTGTCCCCCGCCGTGATATTGCTGGAATACATGTATTGCTAAAGCGGCGTAAAACCACTCACTCACTCACAATGTCAATCACTGGATTGCCTGCCCAAGACTCAATTCTTGGCAGACCACAGTCACACAGCTAGAATATTGCTGAATGTGCCTCTAAGTACCATTCAGTTTGTCAGAGACTCTGATACTGACGCCATATTGCTGATGCGGCATCAAACACAGTTCACTCACTAACGCGTGCTGCCGTCGTTGGCGCAGTTCCTCTGGGCGAACTGAAGTCATCACTATTTCCTCCCAACAAAGGTGCATGCTTCCTTGCCATTGAACCTAATCTAAAACCCTGAAGAAATTAAATCCGCAGAATGAGGAAATGTCTTCAACTAGCAGGAACTTTTCATTAAACTGGACACCAGAATTTGATTGAGTGCTTCCCTGACAAGTGAAGAACTTCAAATCACTACGTCTTTACATGAAACATACAGTCGATTAAATGACAGGAAGTCATTTACACGTTCCTACAACAGCATTACGTGCATAGTTTCAAATTCTACGATCAGCCATTTCGATTTATATCTTACTTTTGTTTAGAATACTATTAGGCAAACGTGCTTGTTCTCTTTGCTTCTGTTTGACGGTCGGTCTGTTGATGAGATGAGAGTCTCTGCAGGACGTCATTTGACCATTTCCATGATATGTTTAGTGACAGAAACTCATTCAGTGATTATCATTAATGTGAAGTATTTTATAATAGTCTCCCGTTTCATACAGCAAAATAGTTTAATATCACAATAATCGTGTGGCTGAATCTCGCTGATCCTTTACTAAAGTATATGGATCATTACATCTTTTACCATTGTAAACAATTATTCAAATGAAATAAGAGTATTCATATTTGAAGGACTATCTTTAATGACACAGAATTCGATCTTTGGCATGAGAATATTTTCTAATATAGCAATAGAGGCTGCAAATGACGGACGCGAGGCATCAATGTACAACCGTTTCATTGATCGTTCATCCTGTTTCGTTCATTGATGCTCTGGATTCATTCACGAATTTAGACAGCCTCATCCACTGACAAAGTATAAAGGTTGGTGTGTGTGCGTGCGCGCATGTGTGTGTAATTGAGGTGGAGGATGTGGGGTTGCGTCGAGAATGTGTAACGTTGTGATATTGCTTCATATTATGCACGATAAGTCCTGACAAAATAATTATGGGCGCGGGTTAGCTTAGTGGTTAAAGCATTCGCTTGTCACACCGAATACCCGGGTTCGATTCCCCGTATATGTGTACAAAGTGTGAAGCTCATTTCTGGTGTCCCCCCAACGCTGGAATATTGCTAAAAGCGGCGTAAAACTAAACTCACTCACTCATTCTGACAAACCATTCACAACCTTCCTTCATTACCATTGATGTACAGGATAACAGCATTTCTAAGTAAACAGCTAGAATGATACCTTTATGGAAAAATGTCACCGGTACTTTCACAGAAAACACACACGTTATATGATTTGAGTATCTGTTTCGATGGTTTATCTAGGTTTTACCAATAAACCTACATGCTTGTCGACTTGCTTGCACGAAGACTTGTGACGATCTTCCTGCCCATGTGTACAAGAAATACTTCAAAGTTTACTTAGTTCATGTGCACGATGCGTATACCTTCTCAAGAAATGAAAACTATAAAAAATAGAAAAAGCAAGTTCTTCCAAAACTTGATTAAAAATATTGACTCCTGTTGAGTTTATTGTGGACGTTTCTGATATTGGAGAGAAAACACTGCACGAACACACAGTGTGGAATGCGAACTGCAGACGTAACTTCTGCCATAAACAGGCCCTCCGACACGAACGCTCGTTTGTTGTATTAGCCGTCCAGCATGCATTATCAACAAAGTTCTTGATAAAAACACAAGCATGTGAAATTTTGGTTTTACAACTGTTTGTTGGCATTGGTGATGAGGTTTGCCGTGGGAGGTAGGAGAGGGACTAAAAAGTGGGGCTCACAATCTATGTCGGTTTGAAAAGCGGTGCTGGAGACTGATTAAAACCATCAGAAAAATGTGTTATCTCAAACAATCCCGCTTCATTGTAGAATAGATGTAGTGGCGGTAACCGTATCGTATTTTGTCGTGTCTTGTAGCTACAGGCGGCACACCGTCTTTTCCTGAGAAATCCTATACCAAAACCAGCACCAAACTTAATATTGACCCGTAAAAGGTTTAGAATTGGCGTTCAGGAACCCATGCTTGTAGTAAGAGGCAACTAATGGGAGCGGGT